GGACGAAGTCCAAAAGAAGCTGCATCATCAGGTATGAATCCAACAGCGTTATCCACCAAGTTAAAATCCGTAGGTACAAAATCTGGACAGAACATTTAAAAAAATGTGTGCTTGTAACTTTCCCACTATGGGAAGCAGAACAGATACATCAGACGTTCCTTAATCTGGTGCTCTCCAGAAAGATTACAACTCCCATCATCCCTGACCATTGGAGTACAACCACTGGACTTTTGGACTACAACTCCCATTGACCATGTTAAGAAGGACTGAAGAGAGTTAGAGCCTGATAACTTATGAAAGGCACCAGATTAGGGAAGGCCAAGATGGGCCTTGGTCTGATCTAGCAATGCTCTGCTTATATTGACATGCATTTGTAACCTAGTGTGACAACACACATCACAACAGCACTGACCAACTTCCACCCCAAATCATAATCAAAGATTTTTTCTTACCTTGCATGGCCTCAATGTCTGGGTAAACAGGATAGGCCGCTACACAGCAGATAGATGAAAGCGCTACCATGACATACGCCAGAATCTGGAACTGCATCTTCATTGTCCCCCTTTGCAGCTTGGCCAAACTGTGAGGATCTCGCAGCGGCCTGCGTGTTTGGACCCTCCTTTATATCCTCTCCACCCATCTATCTCTGCAGGATCAATATGTTATCATTTTGCAAGAGATTCTCATCATCCCAGTCATCCATCTATCGCAGTGACAGTTTGTCATCCTAATGCACCACCATCCTTTTACGCTTCCATTCTATCGTCGCTTGAACAGGTAGCCCTTAACAAATGTTTGGTCTAGATCAGACAGTTCATTACTGTTTGGTTTGGCTTGGCTGGGAGAACCTGGGGTAGAAATGAAACGCCGTGACGTCAACAGCTCTCTGAAGTTAACAATGAGTTTGGCCTGGACTGAATGGAATGGACAGAAAAATAAATGGTACCTTTTTTCCCCCTTCGGTATATGCAAAATGCAAACCAGCATTTCCGCTTCACAGGATGTTACTGTGTAAAGATTACCCACTTCCCCTGCCTTATGAAAAGCCCTGCAGAGGTGGACGCTTCTTCGTAGCAAATGCCACCTCCTTGATGATGCATTTCCTTTGCTTCCTGCCAAAGTTTTGCTGGAGTCAAGAGTCTATCCAAGCTGAAAAGCACAGTCTTATAAGCACAGGGATGGGAAACCCTTTTCAGCCTGGGCTGCACTTCCTTCTGGGCAACTTTCTGGGAGCCACGTGCCAGAGGCAAAAGGAGGCGGAGCAACTTTTAAAAATTACCTTTGTATAGTATAGCCTTACATGGGTCAGGGCTGCAACACCTTAAGCATCGCTTCTCCCCATACGAACCAACCCAGACCCTGTGCTTGTCATCTGAGGCCCTTCTCTATATCCTCCATCCCACAGAGTTTCAGAGGGTGGCAACAAGAGAACGGGGCTTTTCTGTGGTGGCTCCCCAATTGTGGAATGCTCTCCACAGAGAGGCTTACCTGGCGCCTTCATTACATGTCTTTAGGCACCAGGCAAAAACATTCCTCTTTACATAGGCCTATGACTATTTTTTTTTATTATTATTATTATTATTATTATTATTATTATTATACACATCTGACAAGGCAGCTCCCAAACAAAAATAGTAAAAATGCAATACAACATCCCACACTAAAATCTTCCTTGAACAGGGCTGCCTTCAGATGTCTTTTAAAATGACATACCGGTAGCTGTTTACAGTGCTTTTTTTCGGGGGGGGGGGGGGACTCAGGGGTACACATACCCCTAAACATTTTGTGAACCTTTGTACTTTACTGTATTTATTTTTCCTGATTTGAATACAAAATGGTGATTTTCTTGAGTCAAAATGAGAGTACCCCTAAGCATTTTTTAAAGAAAAAAAGCACTGGCTGTTTATCTTTTTGACATCTGATGGGAGGGTGTTCCACTGGGCAGGCACCACTACTGAAAAGGCCCTCTGCCTGGTTCCCTGTAACCTCAGCTCTCGCAATGAGGGAACCGGCAGAAGACCCTCTGAGCTGGACAATATGGGGGCAGCACCTCCTTCAGCTATACAGGGTTGGAGTCATTTAGGGCCTGTAAAAGTGGGCGGGGGAGGACTGTTATTATAATGACTATTTTTTTTTATTAGGCCGTCTGTCAGTATGCTTTTGGCTATTGTATGTTTTTATCATTGACATTCCATAATGTATTTTAATTATGTATCTTTTGGTATATAAATTGAATTATATATATAATTATATACCCATCGTTCAGCCCAGACACTGAGGTCCAGTGTCGCGGGCCTTCTGACAGTTCCCTCCCTGCAAGAAGTGAGGTTACAGAGAACCAGGCAAAGGGCCTTTTCGGTAGTGGCGCCCACCCTGTGGAATGCCCTCCTATCAGATGTCAAGGAAATAAACAACTATCTGACTTTTAGAAGACATTTGAAGGCAGTCCTATTTAGGGAAGTTTTTAATGTTTGAAGTTTTATTCTGTTTTTAGTCTTCAGTTGGGAGCTGCCCAGAGTGACTGGGGAAACCCAGCCAGATGGGCGAGGTATAGATAATAAAATGATTATGATTATGATTAGAGTAGCTTCTGCACACACTTACATACTTACTATCCTCCTGTCAGGCAAGCAAAACTCAGTATCATAGGAACATGTAAAGCTGCCTTATACAAGGTCAGATCATTAGCCTACTGCATTCAATATTGTCAACCCTGGCTGGCAGTGGCTCTCCAGGCCTCATGGCCTGAGGTGTCCCACCCCCATTATAAGAGTCCAAGAAATTGATGCAAGGGAAGGCTACTAGAAGAGTCCCATTGCTATTCTTCTATTGGCAAGTTTCAGCTGCCTATTTTAAAGGAGACACCCACCCTCCTGGAACAAATCAAGTTCTAGTTTCAAATAGTGTCCAGCCAGATCTCTATGAAGCCCTCAACAGGAGAAACATGAAATCTGCAGCCGCTCTCAACTGTTTTGTCTCCAGCATTGCTATTCACAGGTGCGCTATGCCTAACGGTTGTTGCGAGACCTACCCTCCCCAAGCTACCTGTAGCTTCCTCTATTAACCCTCAAATCAAAGTTCGTCCTTGCAAACTGGATCTTTCCCGTTCTTGCCAGCAGAACCACCACCTGTGCCTATTTCTGAGCTTTTTTTGTGTGGTTCTGTTGTGACTTTAATGAGTGTTAATTGGCTAGGTGATCTTTTCCTTGTGCTGGATTAAGAGGTGAAGCCAGTATTGCCAGTAGGAGAGGCAAGAGCAGCCAGCCAATGAAAGGATAAAAGTTCCACTACTTTTCTAAACCACGTGACTGTGAGTGCCTCCAGAATATACGTGTTATGTAGTGTAGTTTCACCCTGGGCCAACAGGGGGATACTGTATATAGTTTTCACTCAGGTCCGGCAGTTATTTTAGGCGGGAACTCTGGGCTGTTGTGGTTACAATGTTGACAGCCGGCTGCCTATAAATACAGGCCGGCTGAGCTGTTCGCAGTCAGTTCTATTCCAGCTTACCATAATAAAGAGCTACTTGAAGAAATCGCTGTGCCGGCTGCTATGTCAACCCACGACTTAACACTGGCGACGAGGTGGGATGGATGGACATCAGAGCACAGCCAGATGCGGCCAGCCTCTGAACTGAGCTGAATCACTGAGCTGAATCACAGAGCGAAATCACTGAGCGAAATCACTGGGCAGAACCAATTCAGAGCTGACTGTTCTGGCTAGAGCACTGTGTTCCATCCATCGCCCTTCACGCCGGCATCGGAATCATGGCTTCACTTGTGCCTCTACCGCCGTTTGCGCCAGCCTCTGAATCATGGGACTCCTACCTCGCTCGGTTCGACTGCTACCTCCAAGCCAACGAGCTGACAGCAGTATCAAAGGATCGGAAGCGGGGCCTATTCCTCAGCCTCTGTGGGCCTGAGGTGTTTGAGACGGCCCGAGCGTTGGTTGCGCCTGAAGCAGTCCAGGCAACACCATGGGACACGATCCAAG